AAAGCGGTTTCAACCTTTTTGTTTTATAAAAAAATCTATAAAATGTGTCTATATACACGGACATAAACGTACGTTATGTGAACTTTTATTGCTTATCGACTGCGGAATTTTAATATGTATAGGTACCTATATATATATATATATATATATATAGGTAGGTACACCGGATTAACTTGTTAATCTGTAAAATCTTTATGTTTCATATAATATATGTGTATGAAGTGTTTTAGATACAAACAGTATATTATCGGAGTAAAAACTAATATTCATTTTTATAAAATTATACCTATTTCTTTAGAATTTTTTGAATGCATTTTTTTTACCTACGGTAAAACCGGGTGAATAGAAACACTTTTGAACTTTGAAGTATCATACAAACTTTTCTATTTGTTCTTTATAGATGATCAATACATCAAAATACCGGACTTTTCGAGTACTTTAACTGATGTTCAGACAAAATATTTGTATTATTAACAGATTATTTTATATAATTTTTTTAATGCTCAATTTCTGATTTTTGGAAAATGAGGTCAATAGAAACATGTATACCTAGTATTTACATGTATATTTTTATTCAATGAACCAAGAGGTGAAAAGAAACAAAATTTGATGAAAATTCACTTTTTTTTTCTTAATGTTTGGCCATCGTGGAGGAACAATAAAATAATAATTCTTGATTATTTGAAAACTGTACTAGTTGACAATCGATAATGTAAATTAAGAATATTGATAATATCAAAACTGGATTGTGATTTGTGAGGACGTTGAAAAAAAAGACTGATTTTGCTTCTATTCACCCGGTTTTACGGTAAGTATCTATATATTCAACGACAGGGCCTAAAATTAAGATATTTTGCTTCGGCACACCTAATTCCATACCAAAATATTTTAAAATAATGAACAAATAGTGCTTGTCTATGCCACATATAACTTCATTGCATAATTTATTGTTTTTGCTAAAGCCCGGATTAAGACATTTTGAGGCCCAGGGGCCAAAGTTTTAAATGAGGCCCTTGTACCAAAAAAAAAAAAAAAATAATGTATAATAGGTACCTGTTATAATAAATATATATAGGTATTAGGTACATAGCAATAAATCAAGAATAAAGTATCATTTTATTTATAAATTATAATTTACAAGCTTTTTTCCTCGCTAAATAATCATCGATTTTTTTAAGTGATTTATGCGGTGTTATAGTCTATAATGGACAAATCTGAGGCCCCTAAATAAATCGAGGCCCGGGGGCCATGCCCCCCCCCTGGACCCCCCCTTAATCCGGGCTTGTTTTTGCTATTTATTAATAATAAGTTATAATAAATACAATTTAAGACAATCTTTTATAAAAGGCGTTGATACCTATATGGCTAAACATTTTAAAATTAAAAACGAAATAGGTACCTTGGGTTAATATACTTATTATATTATAAGCCGCCCAGTATAGGGTGTAGTCGGTATTATTTTTAGTGTTAAGGATTTTAAACAAATACAATAATATGCTAATTAGTCATTTTAAATAATCAATATAAAAAGCCGGTTGGCGTTAAGCTTATAATAAAAAAAATAATAATAATAAAAAAAACCTATAACAAATTCCAAATTAATCATATCACAATATACATTAGGTACTTATAACGCGTTATATATCAACAACAAACCGTGATACTATCATAGATAAATAATAGTATACTTTAGATGTTTCAAGTACCCACAAATAATTTTATACAGTTATTCTAGGTTTTTAATGTGTAATTTTGAAACTCCAAATTTGAACTTAAAATGACTATAAAAATAAACTGTGTCTATGTATTTTTTTTAGATTTTTTGGTAACAGAATTAACTACTTACGTGGAATCTTGTTTTAAATTTTCAATCCTTAGATATAAAAGTTGAATATTTTATACATTTTTAACTACCAAATAATTATTCAATTTAAAATTTGATATTTAAATGCTTATAAAAAAAAAATTTGCCTATGTATTTTTAATATTTTTCAACTGATATTATAACAGTATATCAGGAGCCTTGTATTAATATAAAAGCCTTATTTTTACACTTTTTGGCTCAACAGATAACACTTTATTGATATTCATAAAAAACAAAATAAAATAATTGAAATATGAAATTGTCCGTAAACAGCTCAAAACAAGTCAAAATATTTTGAAAATTTTTTCAAGTATAAGAATTGATAAAATAAACATTCAGTGAAATTCAAATTTTCATGTATTTACAGTGTTCGTTTTTGAATTACAACAAAATAAGAAAATCGCTACTTGAGAAATTTAGTGAATATCCAATGTTGTAAAAATTTGAATTTCAAACGCTCCAAAATATTTAATGTTACTTTCTTATGGACATTTTTTTTTTGACAAAGGTAGATAATCTTATAAGGAATCTTGTATTACATTTTAAAATCTTAGATTTGAAAAGAAAAATTGTTACGAATTCTTAACTCAAATAATTTACTAATTTTCGTTATTTTTCCATATTTTGTCAATTTTGAACTCTAAATGCTTATAAAAAAAACTGTAACTAAGGATTTTTAATATTTTTCAAATGTCATTGTAACAATAAAGTAGGAGCTTTGTATTACATTTTAAAGTATTTTTACTCAACAAATAAAGTTTTATTGACATTCATAGAAAAAAAAACTAATAAAATTGGGAACAGAAAATGTCCCTAAACAGTTCAAAACAAATCAAAATATTTTGAAAATGTTATCGTGTATAGAAAATGCAAATATAAACAACCAGTTAAAATTGCATGTATCTACAGTCATTTGTTTTAAAGTTACACCAAAAACTGAAGTCGATTTTGCGTAAGAATTCCCGGTTTTCCTTAATTTTTCTATTGTTCTTCACGGCGCTTTTGAAAATTACTTGGAATTTTAAATTTTGACTTTCCAATGCACCAACAATATTCACTTTCCTATCGAACAAGATACTGCATTATTATTTCAATTACTTATCGTGTATACACACAAAAAAAACACACATCATTGTAAAATCTAAACATTCATCGTTCCACTTAGAATCTAAAATATTGATCACTTAATCAAATAAAAATTTAAAAAAGCAGAAAATAAGTACTGCACGCTTTTAAATTTGCTACTGCACATTTAATATTATCTACTGCACATAATGTGTGCTACTGCACACGATTTTAGGCCCCGTTGAATGACCTCTTTAGATTATCATAATATATATTTTCAATTATCGGTCCATTTCCATGCATGGTAGCTGATTTATAGCTTTATATTAGACCTTGTGTATAGTTTTTGAAATGTCAATAATAAAATGTAGTCTCAGCAGTCAGCACTGCGTTAGCATAGACATATAAAGAAATATATAAAAAAAATTTGCGTAGCTGTTATTATTGTACTATAGTGGTAAAATACTATAATATAGACCTACCGGTATCGTGGCAAACATATTTTGTAAAAACATTTTTATATTGAAAAAAAAACACAAAAATCACAAATCAGTGAAATCACAATACTCTAACGTTTCAATTAGGCATAAGTATATAAGTACAAAATAAAAAAGAAAATTCTAAAAAGAAAATATTTCAGAGTGACTGCGAGCCTCCTTCGACAGTCGGGACCTTTGTATAGTTGTCCCCAATTGTGACCTGCAATTTCATCCAGCCATTGAACAACAATATATCATTAAAATAGCTGGTAGGAGTATTTTTCAAATCCTTTCTACATAATAATGGTCAAATTATTTGATATTAAATAAATATATTTTACTTGATCTACTTGATATAATGCTTTTGTGTGTCATCTACATACACACTATACATGATAATAAAGCTTATGAATAAAATACAATAATAATGCTAAAAGAAAAATATCATGATATAATAATTGCACTATGTATAATTTATTTATTCCATAACCAATTTAAGTGGTATTATTAAAGAATATTTTAAACTTTATATCATTTTATTTTAAGAAAATACATTTTCTGTCGAATGAAATATTATTATTTTTGAAAAGATATTTTATATTATATTTTACGATAAAGCAACATTGACTAGAACTCGACATATTTCTTTTGAAAACGAATACCTAGCGCAGTAAGTAGTAACATGAGAATATATATTAAAATTATGTTATACAATTTAAAGAGGCAATTTTTTTTTTTACAAGTCAATTGTATACTAATTTTTTTTTTATTATTCCTATATTTTCTTGACGAAAGATTTTAGGGATCAAAATGTAATATTATGAATTAAATTTTATTTATTTATATTTTCTTTTAAACATAAATATGCTTTGAGAAATATAATACACGAACATGAATAATAATATATTTATATGCACGGACTTATAATGGTACTGACTTGTACCTATTAATGCAACGATAAGTTGTATGAGTTATCGAAGTATAAATAAAAATGGTAACAGCACTATACTTTGATTGATTCCACTGCAGCTTTATACAATATATTATATTACATATTATATTAGCAGACGGTAATGCGATATGCAAATTCAAGTTCTTAATTTAAAGTTATGTAACAATAATAATAATAATAATAATAATAATAATAATAATAATAATAATAATAATAATAATAATAATAATAATTAGGTACTTTTACAGTTTTACCTGCCATATAATATAACATAATATGTTAGGGTTGCCATTTATACAAAAATACAAGTCGGGACACTATAATCCCCCCCCCCCCCCCACAACACACTCTTTGGAATTTTTAATAAAACTTTTTTTAGTCCAACGTTATTTAATATTTTTATTATATTATAATTTATAATAAATAAAAAAGTCAAAAATTAGAAATAGCACAAAATGTAATAATAGTATTATTATTATCTTATTCATAAATATAATTTTAAATTATCTAAAAAAATTAATTAGGTACACAATTTTTAATTTAAAACAGAGTGGTCTTACTTATTTACTAATATGTGTATTGTTTAAATATGCATCATTATTCATCATCGATTTCATCTAACTTCATTTTTCGAATTTTTTCATGTTTGAGATCCAGAAGCTTCCGTTTCTGATTTTTGATTTGTTGTTGAATATTTTGCAGTTTTATGAACTCGAATGAGCAAATCTTTATTTTTCGAAATGTCTTCATAAAATTGTTGGCATGGTTTATTTTCCAAATTAGTCTTAATGACTAAAGTAGCTTCTACTGTATTGATGCATAAATTACCTCGTGACTTTGTCCAACAACTGTTCATCAATGAAAATATTCTCTCCACTGCAGCGTTAGATCCAGGCAATGCAAATGCAAATTCTACAATTTTTAATAACATAGAATAATCAATATTATTCTCTTTAAATGATTTAAAAATTGACAGCCATTTTTCTTCAGATGTTTTGCATTGCCATTCATCGGTTTTATTTCTTAAAAATTGTTCATACAGTTCTTCCTCGTTTAAAGTAATATTAAAATTTAATTTTAGAAAAGAAATAGATGGCTTTATGTTGGACCAATTTATTTCATCTTTGTTTGACAAACAAACCCATGTTAATGAATTTAATTCTGGTATATGTTGGTTTGAAGCAGTCCAATCTGTTATATAATTTATGCATAAGTCATAAAATTTAGTACACGTTTCTTTAAACTCTGATTTAATTATTTCACCACTTTCTTCTAGATGAACAAGTAATGCTTCAATATCACTTGGTAAAAAAAAATCATCTTTTTTATTTTTTAATTTTGTAGTTAATTTTTCCATAATTAGTATAAGTTCCACCGCGCAAAGCTTTTGATTTTCAATTATTTTAATGTATATATTTATAGTTTTCAATTGACTTTGTAAGAAGTTAAGCCACAAAATAGAAGTTTCATTTTTAAAAAATGTTTTCAAAATGTTTGGACAGTTATTTTGGGATAAAAAATACGATTTAAGTGCACTAAACATTTCTATTATTCTTTCAATTGCCGGATATAACGATAACCATCTTGTTTTGGAGTGTGCTAATATTTCTTTATACTGAACATCAACAAACGAACAGAATTCTTTTAATGTTTCAACACGTACGGTATAAATATGGAAATATCCAAATATTTTACAAACTATTATTTCAATATCAATAGGAAGACTATCCGCAGCATACTGAATACTGTTATGTATTACGTGTGCGCAGCAACCTAATCCCAAAATATTACGCTTTAATGTATTTTTTAATTTTAAAAATACATTATTTTTGCCTTTTCTAGCAATACCGCCAAAGTTTGTGTTAGTATTATCTCCAGAGAAGCTTATTATTTTTTCTTCGAGTTCAAATTTTTTCAAAACACTTACAATTTTATTGTGAATTAACTCGGCAGTTTCTCCGGGTAAGCTCGAAAAGTCCAAAATATCATTTTTAATCCCATTCTTTGGATTAAAATATCTAACAATTACAGGAACTAATTTTACGGACTTATGATTTGAGGCATCAACAAGCACAGAAATATAATTAGCTTTTTTTAAACCTTCAATAGTATTCTCCATTGCGAAAGGAGCTAAAATATTTACTATTAGGTCACGGGTTTTTGTCTTAGCACAAGTAAATTTTTTTTCATTAAATAAAAGACGAATAAGATCTGCTGTACAAGTCATTGAGTTAAAACTATGATTATGCATAACAGTATGAAAAGCTAAGGTTATTTCTTTGGCCGCTAATTTCAATGATTCGTCATTAGCTTTTAATGGTGTAAAAAAATTATTTACTTTGCCAGATGTCAATGCAGCCTTTTGTGCTATTTTATGTTTATTGGATTTCATATGATATGTTATATCAGTTTTCCCTCCATGGCTAACTGAAAATGTACTCAAATATACAGTACATTGCACATCAAAATTATTGTCGGTTTTTACCTTTTTAATGAATGGAAATTCATTTTGGAGTTTGTCAGTGAAGCTGCATAATCGTTTTGGAGCCATGATGTTTAAAATAATAATACGTAGAATAGCATAAAAATAAAAATTAATAACTACAACACAGAACACAGCAAAGTAATTTAATACTAAATACGTATGACTGAAGAGTGAAGACTAATATATGACTATAATATACGACTAATCGTTATTTCTATAAATTGTATACGCTATGTCATTATGAAAGTTTATCTGTAAAATTATCGGTCCTCGGCTATCTCGGAAATTTCCGACAATTATTTATTGTTTGTTATTCACACGTGAACAATTCGGGACTTATTTTAAGAAACCGGTACTTATCCACGTCCCGGCCGGAAAATGAAAACAATCGGGACTCTGTAGTAAAAACCGGTAGTGTCCCGGCGAAATCGGGACGAATGGCAACCCTATAATATGTGTCTATGTGGATTATAATATCCATAAAAATGTTCAGTCCAATAAATATATCCACATCTAGATATGATATCCTATAATGTTTAACCTGCATGGCCTATAATATATGTGGTTAGTGGTTACGTGCTAATTATTAATTTAATTTTATTACATATTATCATAATGAATTTTAAATCCAGATTACTCTCGCTCATTTCGATGACATATAAAATATTATGTTTTTTTTTTTTTGTGACGTATTTGAAGTAACGTTTTTTTTTGCACGTTCATAAACCATATTCCTATATTGCTGTCGTATGTATCTATTAAGGCTATTAAGCATTATTAATATTGTAAGGTCTGTTTAAATACACAAACATTTATTTGAAACTAGGTTAAGAAAACCTATCTGTTATGTAATAGATATACAAATACATTATTTAAGTTCTATACATTATTTAAGCAGAAGTATTGGGATTAGATAAGTATTTTTTATCCAGATTATAATGGTAATAATAACATAAATAAAATATATCTATGTATAGACACAGATTAAAGATATCTAAAATCTAAATAGTAAATTCATTAAATTCATATTTATTCCTATTGGCTAATAATATAATATTCTCTGAAGCGGTCTCTATAGAACACAAGTGTTAATTAACTTAAATTCTAATTTGTTTTATGTCAGAAGTAATTGGGGCTCGAACACACGACTCAGAGATTAAGAGTCTAGTCTCCATGCGCCCGCCTCGACATTGGGACTTTATTAATTCTTTTTAACGTGGAAATATTAAAAGATAATAATTTATAGCAACTATTAACAGTAAATAATAAAACATTTTTAAAATATAATATAAGCAATGATAAAACATAAGTACAATTAAACTGTCTTTGACAAGATAATGAAACAAATTGAGTTTACATATTTGTTGTGCTCCATAGTACTAACATCGACCCCCTTCCTTGATGTTTATCAAAACCACAACTTAGTCTTATGCTCTATCAACTGAGCTGATTAGGCTCATGAAGCAATCGGCGTATAGTACGACGTAGCAATAATTTATAGTTATTATTTTATTTTATTGCTACTTTATGTACATGGCCGAGTACATTGATTCATTTTCGAGGATTGCTTTCGATGGCATATGAGTTGATTGGGCTTATTTTTAGGAGTTGCAAAAAATACACTCAGAACACAGAGACCACCCCGAGTCCTTAGCCACAGGAAAGCCCTCCCTCGCATGATACTATACGACACATTGTGTTTCACAGTAAATTAAATTGTTAGTAGTTATTGATTATGTCTATTCTATTAATAACTATACTACTAGTATAGACTATAAGAAACATGAATATCGTGTAATTATTATTTTTAACGAATAACAAAATATTTTAGTTCAAACGCCTAATTTTTTTAATTTATAACCGAATAATATATTTATTAAAAAATATTTTAATAATAGGTACACCTAGATATTTTTCGAACACAAAACAATATATTAATAATATATATTTTTCCTACCTCTACGTGGTTTACTCAAGTGCCAAAAATCATCTATCATCGATGTTTATTGAGTATATTATAGCCATGTATCTGATAACTTATGATAAAATATGTTTATGTCACGCCAAATACGGGTTTTTGGTTAAATATTGAAAAAGTCTCGCATCCTCAATAAACACATAAATCATAAAAATATATATAAGTACCTATGTGGCTATGTCGTTGGTATATAGTGGTGCCACTACATGGTGCTACAGAGCGCTATTATACGATAATACGGACCGCATAGACCATGATACCATATGATACTAGAGTATGACCCGGTATAATCACTGACCACAGACCAGTGACCAGTGATACCAATGAGAATACTGTACAATAATATAATATTTTAATTCTTGCAAATGTAATCAATTATTGATAAAAAAAAAAAAAAAAATCATATTATTTTAAATAATAATCGTCAAATTATAACGAGTAACGACTATCATTAATTGTGTGTATACAGTCTATGGGGGGGATTGATCCCCTTGATCCCCCCCCCGTAAATACGCCACTGAGTGGTGGCTTTACCAGGGTCTGGACCCCCCAGGTTCCGAATAAATTCAAAATTTCTTGTTAAATATATTAAGTAATTCAGTCGTACAAATCATCTAAGTAAACAAAATATTTTGTTTTCGTAAGAGTAAGCTAATTAATTAAAATTGAATTAATAAATAGTTAAATTTTTTAGATTCTGAGTGAAACGATGAATGTATTGATTTTACAATGATGTGTGTTTTTTTATTTTAGATTCTGAGTGAAACGATGAATGTATTGATTTTACAATGATGTGTGTTTTTTTTTTTATTTTTTTTTTATTTTATTTTTTATTTTATTTTTTATTTTTTTTGTGTCTGTGTACACGATAAGTAGTCGAAATAATGCTTCGATTTTCGACTTCAGTATCTTGTTCGATTGGAAAGTGAATATCGTTGGTGCATTGGGGAGGTCAAAATTTAAATTTCCCAGTAGTTTTCAAGAGCGCCGGGAAAAACAAAAGAAAAATTAAGGAAAAACGGGAATTTTTACGCAAAATCGATTTTTCAGAAAATTGAATTTGGTTTTTGGTGTAACTTTAAAACAAATGACCGTAGGTACATGCAATTTTCACTGGTTGTTTATATTTGCATCTTCTATACACGATAACATTTTCAAAATATTTTGATTTATTTTGAACAGTTTAGGGACATTTTCATTTTTAGTTTTTTTTTAGTTTTTTTTCTAGAAATATCAATAAAATTTTATTTGTTGGTTGCGAAAGCTTGAAAATTTAATAGAAGGCTCCTAATATATTGTTTCAAGGGCAGATGAAAAATATTAAAAATCCTTAGTCACAATTTTTTTTTATAAGCATTTAAAGTTCAAAAATTGACAAAATATGGAAAAATCACGAAAATTAGCAAATTATTTTGAGTTAAGAATTCGTAAAAATTTTTCTTTTTAAATCTAAGATTTGAAAATCTAATACAAGATTACTCATAAGATTGTCTACCTTTATCAATAAAAAAATCTCTACCGGAAAGTCAAATTAAATTTTTATGAGCGTTTGAAATTCAAATTTTTACAACATTGGATATTCACTCGATTTCTCATGTGGCAATTTCCTTTTTTTGTTGTAATTAAAAAACGAATTACTGTAGATACATGAAAATTTCACTGAATGTTTATATTAGCATTTCCTATACACCATACAATTTTGAAAATATTTTGACTCTTTTTGAGCCGTTTACGGACATTTTCAGTTTTCAATTTTTTTAGTTTTTTTTTTCTATAAATATTAATTAAGTTTTATCTGTTGGGCCAAAAAGTGTAAAAATTTAATACAAGGCTCCTGATATATTGTTACAATATCAGTTGAAAAATATTAAAAATACATAGGCACAATTTTTTTTTATAAGCATTTTAACATCGAATTTTGACAGAATTTTTCAAAATCTCGAAAATTATTAATCATCGTAATTAATAAATTATAAAATGTTCAGTTTTTATAGCTAAGGATTGAAAATTTAAAACAAGATTTCACGTAAGTAGTTAATTCTCTTACCGAAAAATCTAAAAAATATACAATCACAGTTTATTTTTATAGTCATTTTATGTTCAAATTTTGACGAAATTACATATTAAAAAACCTAGTTATTTTGTTGTGATTATATAATATTATTCGTGGGTACCTACTTGAAACTTCTAAAGTGTACTATTATATATATATGATAGTATCAGGGTTTGTTGTTGGTGTATAACGTGTTATTAGTACCTAATGGATATTGTGATAATGTGATATGATTAATTTGGAATTTATTATAGGTCAATTTTTTTTTAATACCATAGATATGTATATAATTTGTCTTAACCTAGACTGACATACCGTCTTCGCTCAGAATCGTTTTTCTTATACAATGATATTGTATCATTGAATTCAAATTTAATAGCATCAATTATACAGTGACCCACTTGTAACCTACTGTACAGCAGAGCGACATCCACTTACCCACCTTTTTTTATTTTTTTTGTATCTGTGTACACGATAAGTAGTCGAAATAATGCTTCGATTTTCGACTTCAGTATCTTGTTCGATTGGAAAGTGAATATCGTTGGTGCATTGGGGAGGTCAAAATTTAAATTTCCCAGTAGTTTTCAAGAGCGCCGGGAAAAACAAAAGAAAAATTAAGGAAAAACGGGAATTTTTACGCAAAATCGATTTTTCAGAAAATTGAATTTGGTTTTTGGTGTAACTTTAAAACAAATGACCGTAGGTACATGCAATTTTCACTGGTTGTTTATATTTGCATCTTCTATACACGATAACATTTTCAAAATATTTTGATTTATTTTGAACAGTTTAGGGACATTTTCATTTTTAGTTTTTTTTTAGTTTTTTTTCTAGAAATATCAATAAAATTTTATTTGTTGGTTGCGAAAGCTTGAAAATTTAATAGAAGGCTCCTAATATATTGTTTCAAGGGCAGATGAAAAATATTAAAAATCCTTAGTCACAATTTTTTTTTATAAGCATTTAAAGTTCAAAAATTGACAAAATATGGAAAAATCACGAAAATTAGCAAATTATTTTGAGTTAAGAATTCGT